AATAGTTAATAATATAATATAATATATTAAAGGAATTATACTTACTAATAAAGGAGAGGTTTTTATTAAATTAATCTCTTTTTATAAGAAAATTAAGCTCCTTATAGGCTAATACCTAGGGATCTAGCGAATAGATAGTAGAACTAAATTTAAAAACTCTATCGATTAGGGGGTAAAGTGTAGTATAACTTTTAAAGTTATTACCCCCTATATAGCTTAGCTAAATAGTGTTATTAAGAGATTTAGGGGTTATATTAATAATATTTAGCGAATAATAATTATTAATACTAATATACCTAAGAATATATAGCCCTCTATAGTTAATACTACTATCTATATTATAAATAGATTAGTTAACCCTAAAACTAGGATATCGCTATTAATATATTAGAGAAGGGAGCTTAATATTCTAAATCTAGAGCTAATATTAAAGTACCTACTACTATAGGGATCTACTACCTATATATATATATCCTAAGAGCTTAATATACTTAGGTAGAAAAGGTAGCCCTAAGGGTATAGAAAGGAATACTATTTAGTTATAAGGGGGATAATAGGTATATATTTAAAGTCTAGGACCCTATTAGTAAGAAGGTTAAGCTTTAAAGGGATATAGGTTTTCTATAACTAAAAGATAATAATTCTAATTAAATTAAGGTACTAGCGCTAGGGGGACCACTAGGTAATAGTAGAAGCTATATTAGCTTCCTTAATATACTAGAATCTAATTAGATTTTCCCCTTATAACTAGTAGATAAGTCGATCCTAAAGGACACACTTCTTATACCCTTAGTAAGAATCTAGCTCTTAGGAGTGTAAGGTAGAGTTTAGACTATACCTATAACACTATAATTATAAAAAGTATTACCTACACTACTAGTGTTAAGGCCTAATATCTTTCTAAGGAGTATAATTCCTATAATATAACTTTTAGTTATAACTAGTAGAAGAGTAGAAGATACCAATAATATAGTCGAAGACTATACTCTTAGTAAAATAAAGGACTAAATAAGCTCTAACCTCTAGAGAAGGTTTTAAGATCTTACTTCGTAAGTCTTAAGAATAGGGAGTAAGATATCTAAAATAAAGAAATAAGTATTAGCTATTAAATAGGAGATTAGATCTAGTAAAACTAGATATATAAGGAATCTTAGTGGCCTTCGGCCACTAGATAGACCTTATAAAGCGAAGTGACTTATTAGTATAGAGTAGTTAATAGTTTGTTAGTGACTAGGTATTAATTACGTAATTATAGCTAGATTTAGATTCCACACTAGTTTATATCACGTGATAAGAACTTTTATTACTAAGGCCTCTAGTATAGAGGCCCAGTAGAATTATTCTGCTATTTCTCAGCGATCATTTTTCACCGCATTAGAATCCTATAGATTTGGACCTTATATAGGAGTAAGGTCACGTGATATATACCTAAGCCCTTATGATATAGGTTACTTCGCTTCGCTCCGTAATTAAGTTAACTCTATCTCCTAAAGTATAAAGAAGGGGATACAAGGGATCTTGGTGGCCTTCGGCCACCAGATAGTCCTTGTGGAGCGAAGTGACAAGGTTTTTACCTAGTTAGGTACTGGGTTTTAATTATATAATCACTATCGTATTTGAATAGTTAACTAGATTTAGACAGTTTATATCATGTGATAAATAATTTTAATTGCTGGGTATGGTGTGTATCTACTGCCGGCAGAATTATTCTGCCATTTCTCAGCGATGACATTTTCGCCGCATTAGAACTCTATGGATTTGGACCTTATATAGGAGCAAGGTCACGTGACGCACACCCGAGCCCTTATGATATGGGTTGCTTCGCTTCGCTCCGCAATTATATAAAGGATAAAGGTCCTTTTAATTCTAATACTCGGTCATCTATCTAAGTACGTTATTTATATCCTAGGGTTAAAGCGGGGTTGATTTGTAATCGGCTCGGGACTCGGTTTGGGTAAATACGGGGTACTAGAGTATAAGAACCCTGAGATCCTTAGGATCCTATTCCCTTCTATAAGAGTTAGTCTTACTACTTAAGATAAATATATTTTAATCCCCTCTCCTAATCACTAAGCCTTATATCTTACCTAGTTAATAGGCCTTATACCTAATTGCGGAGCGAAGCGAAGCAACCTATATCATAAGGGCTTAGGTATACGTCATATGACCTTGCTTATATATAAGGTCCAAATCCATAGAGTTCTAATGCGGCGAAAATGTCATCGCTGAGAAATGGCAGAATAATTCTGCCGGCAGTAGATATACACTAAGCCCAGTAATTGAAATTATTTATCATATGATATAAACCGTCTGAATCTAAATACGATAGTGATTATATAAAAAAAAAACCAGTACCTAAGTAGGTAAAAACCTTGTCACTTCGCTCCACAAGGACTATCTAGTGGCCGAAGGCCACCAAGATCCCTTGTAATTGTATACTCTTATATATTAATATCCCTTCTCCTTACCTATAATTAAGGCTTTAGAAGAAGTAGAAGCCCTATAATCTCTAATACTTTAAGAATAAAATAAGGAGGTTATCTTAATCTCTTTAACCCCTAATCTAATTACTAAACCTATACCTTGTTATTTAAGGTATACTAATATAGGTATACCACTAGAGAGGTATTATAACCCTAATTAAAAATACCTCTCTATTGAATACGAGAAATAGGATAGGGATAGTTAGAAAGCTACCTAAAGATTAAGATTAAGATTACCTAAGAATCTATTAGAAACTAAAGGATCTATAAACACTATAATACATATTACTATATATATTATATTTAATAATAAATCACTATATATAAGGGATATTAATATTACTATAATATATAAGTAGATAGAGAAGTTACCTTTCTAGGTATATTAGAAAGAAGCTATAGAGAAATAGCTTAAGGACCTTACTACTAAGCGAATATAGACCCTAATCCTAAAACCTCTATAATTAAAAGTCCTTCTAGGATAATAGAGATTTATATTTAAAATAAATATAAAGGATTAAGTATATAGGTTTAAAGCACACTAGGTAGTCTATAGAAGTTTCTAGGATAAAGATAGAGTGGAGTCTTATACTCTAGTGGTTTCTAAATATATAATTAAGGTTATATTAACACTTATTATAATATATAACCTTAGATAGAGATAAGTTAATTTTATAGCGGCGTATCTTAATACTTCGAGAGAGTATACTAAGGTTATCTATATAAGATAACTAACTAGATTTAAGTACTCTAATAGGGGCACTTACTCATAGGTATATTTTTTAAACTAGGTACTTTTTAGACTTTAAGATAGTACCTACCTTTAAAATAAAGATATAGATTCTAAGCTTTAATAAATAGGCTTTTTACCCCTAGGCGATAACCCTTATATCTATATTAAAGGAAAAGGGATAGGCCTAATAATTATAATAATCTATATAGATAATTTTATTATCGCTATACTAATAAATATCAAGATTTAAATAGTGGTTTCTATACTTTAAGAATATTATAATATAAAGAATCTTAGTAAACTAAAGTAGTATTTAAATTATACCTTAGTTAGAGACTACAAAAAGAAGATAATCTCAGTGTCTATATATAAAAGATCCTATAGGTATTAGGCACTCTAGGTACTAAGGATATTCCTTTACCTATAGGATAGAGAGAGACTATAACTAAAGAAGACTTAGAGGCCTTACTTAATAATAATAGCTTTAACTACTATTGATTAGTAGTTAGAATACTTAATTAGCTAGTAGTTAAAACTAGGCTAGGTATTCACTTTATAGTGATAAGACTATAGTACCGATTAGCGAAACCGATATTATACGATATAGAAGCACTTTATTATATTATTAAATACCTTCGCTAATATCCTAATCTAGAAATCATCCTTATACTTAGTATATTCTAATATATTACACACTAATTAGTAGGATAGTAAGTCGATAGAAGGTATTATCTAGTTTTTCGCTAGCTCTCTAGTGATATAGTTTATAAAGAAATAGACTATTATAGCTAATTCCACTACTATAGTAGAGTGGTATACACTTAATTAGTCTAGTAGGGATACTATATGGCTAAATAAAGTGGCTAATTCGCTTTAACTACTAAGGCCTAATACTATAGTTATCTATACTAATAGTATTAATCTATAGCTTCTACTCTCTAAGAAAGGGGGTAGATCCGCTCATCGCTAGCTTTTATTGAGATAATTCTTTATTAAAGATACTATTATATAAGGTTAGATCAGTATATATAGAGTAGAATCTAAGTATAATTACGGAGCGAAGCTAAGTAACCTATATTATAAGGGCTTAGGTATATATCACGTGATCTTACTCCAATATAAGGTCTAAATCTATAGAGTTCTAATACGGCGAAAATATTATCGCTAAGAAATAGTAGAATGATTCTACTAGTAGTAGATATACACTAAGCCTAGTAGTAAGTTATAATTATTGATTATATAATATAAACTACCTAACGTATTCGGTAAGCGGGTGGCCACCCCGTCTAAACCCAGTACATTTAATTGCATTTATCTCAATCAGAACGCCATTAAATTAAATATACTAAAATCATTTATCTAGCTTAGCCACTATTGATTTTATGCCCTATTTCTCTACAGCCACTACACTTTAGCGGGGCTCACGTACGTGGTTGTAAACCTAGCGAAGGGCTTCTTCGTGGAGGGGAGGGGGGTACTTTATCTGCTTCCACTAGCTTAGTAATCAACTAAGAAGCTTCTTAAACCGAGAGCCCTTGCTTAGTGGGTATCTACCTTCGGGATCAAGTACGCTTTTACTTCTGCTTCTCGTTGGTAGCGCGTAATTCGCTTACTTCTTTCTTAAGAAGTGCGGTGGATTGTATAGTGATTTAGTATACCTTTAAAACCTGGTTGATAGCGGAATTAAGTGGGCTCGGTAGACTTCTTAATCGTGTACGAAGTAATGCTTTAATTGACGAAGCTTGCTTTTGTAATTATATATAGTTCGAAGGTGTTCTTAGGTCCTAATCACTCCCCCGGCTAGGGGGGGTAGGCGTTCGAAGCCGAATATTAAGCTTAGAAATCACTCGGTTAGGTATAAAGGGTATTAAACTAGCTACTCTAAAGCTATTTTTGATAGTCTCCGATTTAAAAGCCTTAATTTGTGTAAAGGGGTACGCTTTAAGGAAATCAAGTTTGTTAATATGATTTATCCTAACCTATATTTTCGATTTAACTAACCGGCTATACGTACGTTTTAACACCGCAAAATAACTAATATTAAGAGGTTATAAAAGGTAAGATAAATACGCTAGTATATAAATTAGTATTACCTTATTTTCTTCACAAATTTTATCGAACCTTAGGGTTAAATAAGTTCTATGACTATTAAGTATTAAAAGCTAATACCCCCCTTCGTACGCGAAGAAGTAGTAGAAATAAATAGCTTCTCTAGCTAGCGAAGTCTAATTTTATTAGAGGTCTAACCATTAGGACTAACTTCGAAACGCTAGTCCTTTAGAAGGCCTTCGAACTATAATTTAATAAAGACTTTACCTTTAAAAATCATATATAGAGGAAGGGCCTAACTAGAAGTATTTATACACTTAATAATAGTCACCTATTCACGATTTCTAGGTTATAAAACCGGCCCTTAACCATAGTATTCACTCCTTATAATAACCTTCGTAGTTATAGTTAATCCTATTATAAACCTAGTCTTATCGAAGTTATAAACGTCATTAGGGTCGATTCTAAATTAAAGGATTATCTTTTAAACTAAATCAAACTACTCCCTAATGATTTTAGGGTCTTCGTATTTCGTACGTTCGTAATTATATCGTTTCGAGAATCGAGAGAAGAGGAGAGGATACCGTTTTATAAAGTTATAAACCTATTTTTCGCCGACCGAAGGAACTAGGGTAGTTCCACGCTTTTAAAGAATAAGATCCACTATTTCTCGAACCATAGAGGGCCGGGGGGCTGATCCACGAGAATCTATAGAGAGAACCCATTTTTTAAGAGATTTTTCTTCAATTTTAGTTAATTTAGAGTAATTGGCGCGAGAATTCGCGCGGTATTGTATTCTATCAATTCGGCGGCGGAGAGTTGTACGCGGCACATTAAAGGTACGCGCAGTAAGAGAAATAGAGCCGATATCTCTATTTTTAATAGCCTGGATAGCTAATAAAAGCCTACCCTCTTGCTTGGTTGAATTTATAGAGGACTGAGAGCGAATTGGTGGTATGGTGGGTGGTTGAACTAACTAAGTGCTAATTCATGGACGCGTTTTTGGATGGGGTGGCCACTCGCTTACAGTGGCCACCCGCTTACCGAATACGTTAAATCTAAATTCGATAGTGACTACGTAATTAAAACCTAGTACCTAACTAGGTAAAAGCCTTATCACTTCGCTCTATAAGGACTATCTAGTGGCTAAAGGCCACTAAGATCCCTTATATAAAGAGCCCTATCCCCTATAAATTCCTCTTTCTCTCTGCTTCTCTCCTTATACTTAGTATTCTAGTAAAATTATACACTTAAAGCTTTCCTTCTTGTACTAGTATATAATATAATACTAGGTATTACCTAAATTCTGGATGGCTAATAAGATCCTGCCCTCTTACTCTATTAAATTTCTAGATCTTTAAGAGCGAATTAGTGGTATAGTGGGTGGTTAAGCTAATTGATTACTAATTTATGGACGCGTTTTGGGTGGGGTGTGTAGCTCGCTTGTGAAATACGTTGAATCTAGCTATAATTACGTAATTAATACCTAGTCACTAACTAACTAACTAACTATTAATAAGTCACTTTACTTTATAAGGTCTATAATCCCTTATAAGTACCTATATTATTAGTAGACCTTAGAAAACATAATTTAATTCTTAGAAAGAACTAGTTTATAGAGTATAATATATTAGTTAATTATTAATAGTATTAGATAATTTAGCCTAAAGAAAGAACTTTTTAACAAAGTATCTAGTAAGCTAATAACTAGCCCTTATATTTTTTATAAAAATTATAGACCCTCCTTATAGAGGGTCCACTACCTATATAAAAGGGATCACCTATATAAAAGATTTTTATTAACCTTACTTTTAACTACTATTTACTATATAACCTATATATAAATTCATTTAATATTATAATATATATTAATAGATTAGATACTAAATTACTAGAATATCAAAAAAAAATTAATTATTTCTATACTTCTAATCCCTTCTATATCTCCTAATCTTAACTAAAATCTTCTTCTATTTCCACTAAGTCTTTCCTTAATTAGCCTTTTTAGTTAATTTATACTCTTTTCGCTTCATCTCTTTAACCTAGGATAAATTAATAATACTAGTGAGTTAAATATAATACTAAGAAGTATTATATCTAGTGTGGTAAGTACCTATAATAGCCTATATCTAATTAAATTCTTGTTAAAGCTATAATACGAAAGTAGCTTATTATAGAGCGAAGCGGAGTAACCTATATTATAAGGGGTTATATATATATTATATAAGGGATCTTGGTGGCCTTCGGCCACCAGATAGACCTTATGAAGCGAAGTGACTCATTAGTAGTTAGTTAGTTAACGTATTTCACAAGCGAGTGGGCCACCCAACCTAATATAGTAAATTTAAATATATAGATCTCAACCAAAACACCATTAAATTAAGGGGATTAGTATAGGGACCCCCCTCTCCGTAATGCGACCCCCCCCTGCCTGAATTTTCAGTACCGCCTTCCTGATTGGGTGCGACACTGAATTGATGCCTGCTTCTGCCTACCGCTCTCCACACCGCCTTCGTGTCAAACTAGGAAGACGGCAGATACCTACAATTTATATGTAAACCCCATACAAAATTAAGTCACTTTTATCACATAACACTCCGTACATACATATAGATAGGATCAAACAAATTGATATTCCAATTCTGGTTTACATACATTAATCTACTCTCTTCCTACCTATTTTTTTCATCACTTTCTTCATCAAATTCATCATTACTATCGTCAATATAGCCTCCCTAGGCCTTATATATCTAGAATCAGATCTAGATTCCGATCCGGAGATCGTCCCTAAGTCCCCACCCGCCGTACCAAGCACCCAGCCAACCACTAAGACCTTCACATTCCCACTTCCCCCGTTAAACCAGCATTTCCGTACACCAGAGGAAGGGATTAAAGCGGTGAACATATTCGCGCGCCCGTATGGCTATACGGTAACGAGCCGACGCTTAAAGTCTACAAAGAAAGGAGTCAAAAAGATAATTCGGCTGATTTATGACCGTAGCCGTACGGTGACTCGGCCCGAGGATCGCTCCCCTACACCAAAACGCCGGAATACTACTACACTTACGCTTAGATGTCCCTATCCACAGGGCGCTAGGAACTTTATAAGCACCTAGAATACCCAGGACACTCAGTCTTCCCCAGATCCATTAACCTAAGATAGCTCTGTTCACCGTGACCTATTATTATAGGTAGGCCGGGGACGGGGGTGTGGTCGGCCGCGAGGACAGGGACGAGGACGTGGACATAGCACCAGCAGTAGAGAAACCGGCAGTGGTGGAACTAGTAGTGATAATCGAGGGCGTGGCCGAGGACGTGGACATGAAGGAAAACGCGCGCGGGGAAGTGCCTAAGAAAGAGGATAATCCCTATGTAAAGTATTAAGGTAGTAATCAAGCAGAAATTTACGATTTATTCTGATCAAAATGCATGTTTTTTTACTATGTAAACCAGAATTATATGGTGGTGGCAGAATATATGGCAGAAAACTCTACATTGGCAGAAATTATGGCAGAATTCAGTGTCGCACCCAATCAAGAAGGCGGTACTGAAAATTCAGGCAGGGGGGGGTCGCATTACGGAGAGGGGGGGTCCCTATTCTAATCCCCTAAATTAAATACACTAAAATCATCTATCTAGCTATAAAATCATCTATCTAGCTAGGCATCTATTAAATCTATACCCTATTTCTCCACACCCACTATACCTTGGTGGTACCTACGTACGGGGTTGTAAAGCCGGCGAAGGGCCTCTCCGCTAAGGGGGGGGTACTTCTATTACTACCACTAGCTTAGTAATTAATTAAGAAGCTTCTTAAACTACAAGGCCTTCTTTAGTAGGTATCTACCTTTAGGATTGAGTACACTTTTACTTCTACTTCTTATTAGCGGCGTATAATTCCTTATTTTCTTTAGTAAGTAAGATAGTACCTTATTTTATAAGATAGAAGCCTTTTATAAGCTAGTTTAATATATAATCTAATAGACTTTGTAGGCTTTAAGATCTTATATAAAGTAAAGCTTTAATTAATAAAGCCTAATAATATAGATCTTTCTCTATAGCTAGTGTTCTTAGTATGAAATTCTAGCTTAATTTACTCCCCTAGCTTAGAGGGGGGTAGGGGTTCGAAGCTAAATATTAAGCTTTAAAATCACTTAGTTAGGTATAAATAGTACTAAACTAGCTACTCTAAAGCTATTTTAAATAGTCTCTAATTTAAAGGCTTTAATTTATATAAGGGGGTATAATTGAAGGAAGTTACGCTTATTGATATAGTTAATCCTAGTCTATATTTTTATTTTAACTATCTAACTATATAATTATTTTAATACTATAAAATAGCTAATATCTAAAGGTTATAAAAGATAAGATTAATATACTAGTATATAGATAGGTATTATCCTATTTTATTTATAAATCTTGATAAATTTAGGTATTAAATAACTTCTATAGCTATTAAGTATTAAGAGCTAGTATACCCCCTTTATATATAAAGAAGTACTTAGAATAAAGAGCTTTTCTAGCTAATAAAGTCTAATTTTATTAGAGATCTAGCTATTAGGACTAACTTGAAAGCGCTAATCCCCTAGAAGGCTATTAAACTATAACTTAATAAAGACTTTACCTTTGAAAATTATTGCGGAGCGAAGCGAAGCAACCCATATCATAAGGGCTTGTGTGTAAGTCACGTGACCTTGCTCATATATGAGGTCCAAATCCATAGAGTTCTAATGCGGCGAAAATGTCATCGCTGAGAAATAGCAGAATAATTCTGCCGGCAGTATAAAGTAGATATCCGCTAAGCCCAGCAATTACAATTATTTATCATATAAAATAAACCGCGCGAATCTAAATTCGATAGTGACTACGAAAACCTAGTACCTACTAGGTAAAAACCTTGTCACTTCGCTCTATAAGGACTATCTAGTGCACTGGTAAAGACTACCTCCTATATATAATCTATTACTATCTCTAGTAGTAGTATAGAAATAGGATTAACTATAAAGTTAACCTATACCCCCTATATAAAATATAAAGAACGCTCTAACCCTATAAGTCTCTTAAACCCTAAGTAGGATATCCTAATAAAAGAAGATTAATACTTTAACTATAAGAAGTAAGGATATACAATCTATAACTATCTAAAGAAGAAGCTAGTTAGTACTATTACTATAGCTTCACCTTCTCCTCTTATTATTAAGCTTAATAATAAGAAAGATAATAATTAGGGAAAAGCTAATACCCAGGTTAAGTCTTCTACCTAGGTAGATAGAAGGTATTACTATACTTACTAGATTTATATAAGTTAATTAGAGGTCCTAGGGATAGTTTAGTTTTTAATATAGATACTCTTTTTCTATTTTAGTACTTAGTAATACTAAAGTAGATAGGTATATTCTTAAACTAGGAGTTAAGTATACTTCTTAATAAATAATTTAGATTAAAAGTAGAAAGTATAGGATAGGAGTATCCTATTTAAGGATTTAATAGAAAGCTTAGTAAGCTAATAATATATATTATCTTTCTTATAATATATATAGATAGTAGGATATAGTAATAAGTTCTAATATTAATCACTAATCTTAGAAAATATAATATAATCCTTAGAAAGAAATAGTTTATAGATAATAATATCCTATTAGATTATTATTAATACTAAATAATCTAGCTAGATAAGAAGACTCTCTTTAATAAGATATTAAGTAAGATAGTAATACTAATACTAACTACTATTCTTGAGAGACTAAAGCTAAACCCTAATTATTAAGCTAATATTAATTAATAAGACTATCTTTTTAGCTAAAAGGAATTAGAAATAAAGGATAGTTATAGATATACCTAGGAATAATAGTATAGAGACTAGTAAATTAAAGAATAATAAAAGATAGGTTATAACCTAAATAATAGGAGTAAGATAGTAGTCTTAAAGATTTAATAATAGGATAAATTACTAATAATCGATATTAGTACTATTAGAGATATTAGTTTTGATAGACTCTATAAAAAAGGGAAGGCTAATAGAGAAATTAAAATCTTTATTACTTTACTCTATAAGATTAACTATATTATTAAAGTAAAGAGTATATAGGCTTAGGACCCTAAAATTAATTAAATCCTAAGGACTCTTCTAAAAGAATACTATAACTTAGTAGAAGTCTTTTTAAAGAAAAAATCTAATAAGTTACTACCTTATAGGCCTAGTATAGATTATAATATTATTCTTAAAGTAGAAGTATGACCTAGATATTATCTACTCTATAAGCTATTATTTAAAGAATTAAAAGTAGTAAAGAAATATATCCTTAATAATCTTAAAAAAGGATTTATTATACTAAGTTTAGCTCTATATATATCCCTAATTTTAATAGTAAGAAAACCTAATAGGGGACTTTAATTCTATATTAATTTCTAAAGGTTAAATATAATTATAAAGAAAGACTATTACCCTCTACTACTAATTAATAAGGTACTATAATAAATAAGTAAGGCTAAGATCTATATAAAGCTTAATATCTAGTAAGGTTTCTACTAAATTTATTTAATACTAGAGATAGAGGACCTTACTATATTCTATATAAGATATAGATCTTTTAAATATAAAGTAATACTATTTAGATTAATAAATAGCCCTATAACTTTTTAAAGATTTATAAATAATATTCTTTAGGAGTACCTAGATAACTATATAGTAGCCTTTATAGATAATATCCTAATCTATAGTAAGAATATTAAAGATTACTAATAATAGGTTAGAAAGGTATTTAGTTACCTATAGAAAGTAGGGTTATAAGTTTCTTTACTAAAATCTAAGTTCTCTATAAAGAAGACTAAGTTCCTTAGGTTTATTATAAGTACTAATAGTATAGCTATTAACCTAGAGAAGACCTATATAGTCTAATTATAGATAGTACTAAATATAGTAAAAGGAGTATAGTTATTCCTAGGATTCTATAACTTCTACTAATAATTTATTTAAGGATATAGTATAATTTTAAAGTTATTATATTAATTAATAAGGTAGGATATCTTATTTAAGTAGTTAGAGAACTATAAAAAGATATTCTAAACTCTAAAGAAGAAGCTAGTTAGTATACTAATCCTTTAGTACTATAATCTAACTTAATAGACTTAGGTTAAGATAGATATATCTAATAGAGTTCTAGGAGTAGTATTTTCTTAGTACTATAAGAAGGAAGATTTTTAGTACCCTATAGTATTCTATTTAAAGATAATATAATCTATAGAATTAAATTATAAAGTATATAATAAAGAGCTCTTTATAATTATTTATACTTTATAGGAATAGAGACCTAAGCTTAAAGGTCTATCTTAGAGGAATTATTTTAAGATCTTTATAGATTATTAGTTACTTAAGTACTTTATAATAGTATAATAAATAAACTAGTAATAGGTAAGGTAGAGTGAATTCTTATCCTAATTCTATTTTATAATTAAATACTATCCTAGGAATAAGAATATTATTACTAATATTCTATTATAAAAGGAATCTCCTTATATAGATAATAGATAATAGTTTATAATACTCCTAAAGGACTATCTTAAAGAAGGAGTCTATCTAACTTATTTAGCTCTAATCTACTTAGAAGAAATAGAGATAGTTAAGATTATTAAGTAGATAAAAGAAGCTAACTATTAGAGCTTAGAGCTAAATAAATTCTATCTAATAGTATAGAATAGAAGTAACTCCTAATGGATATTACTAGATAGGCTATTTCTTTATAAAGGGTAACTTAAGGTCCCTAATAAAGGAGATCTCTATATATACTTACTTAATAAAATATACTATTAGCCACTAACTATATATCCTAGAGTTAAGAAACTAAAGAAACTAGTATCTATAAGATAATACTAGTATAGATAGGTAACTAATATAAAGTAATATATTAATAACTATTTAGTCTATAAGTATATAAAGGCTTAGAGAGACTAAATACCTAGATTACTATAATCTCTCCTAGTTCCTAAGAGACCTTAGTAGTATCTCTCTATAGATTTCTATTTATTCCCTAAAGATTATTATAGTTATAATACTATCCTTATTATTATTAACTAACTAAGTAAATAACTAATCTTTATTCCTTATTATAAAGATATAAATACTAAATAGATAGCCTAATTATTTATTAACTATATTATTTAAATTATAGGGATTCTAGAAATAATTATATCTAATTATAAGGGATAGTTTATCTCTAAATTCTAGACTAAATTCTATAGGATCCTTAAGATCAAGAGAAAACTATTAACTATATATTACCCTTAAATAGATAGATAGAGTAAGATTATAAATTAGTATATAGTATAGAGGTTATAACTATATATTAAATAAAACTAGGATAACTAGTTAGAGATCTTACTAATAGTTAATTCTATAGCTTTAATTCTCCCCTAGGATATAATAAAGAAATTACCTTTCTTTATAGAAAGAGGATATAAACCTTTAATAATATTTAACTAGAAAGACCAAGGGATAGTAACACTAAATAAGTAAGATATAGTATAAATACTCTCTAAGTTATAGGATATCTAGACTTAGACTAAGGAATAAATTATAAGGTTATAATAGCTATAAATTCGCTAAGTAAATAAGTACCACTAAGAAAAGGATTTTAGAGTTAGTAACTTAGTATTTATTATAATAAAGGACTAGCTCTAGGATTAACTAAGTAGAAAGCTCTTATACCTAGCTAGTAGACTATATAAGATTATTAAGAAAGTAGATAACTCCTATAAGGTAGACCTACTAGAGGTAATCTAGGTATACCCTATCTTTAACCTAAGTAAACTATAAAAGGTAGCTATAATAGAGCCCTTAGAAGGATAGTATATAGACCTATCTCTACTAATATAGGTTAGGGAGATAGATAAATAGGAAGTTAAGAAGGTCCTAGATACTAGGATATATTATTAGAAGCTATAGTATAGAGTGTAATAGATAGGATATAACCTTAATCTATAGTGGTATCCTACTAGTGATATAAAATATATACTAAGGAAAGTATAGGAATTCTATATATAGTACCCTTCGAAACCTAGTCCTCCTATATATCTATAGGAATAGCTTAATACTAATAAAGAAGATTAAGTCCTTAAAGACTATAGTAATAATAATAAGCTAGTATTTAGAGGCTAAATATATTCTTAGTTAGGAGTTATATAATAATCTAGAAGGTAGATCTTTACTACTAAGAAGATTTCTGCCGAAAGGATTCTACTGGATATTTCTATCTTAATAGAGTTTATATTATTTATATACTTAGTGGTGATAGGACCCCACAAAGGATCCTATCCTAGAGTTTTCTTTCTTCCTTTTCCTTCTCTCTCTATACTTAGTATTCTCGTTGAAATGCACTCTTTTGTTTGAAGAACTGGCTGGTAACATAGAGTAGAGAGGGAAGTAGTAGGAAGGGTCTTTTATATAAAGAGCCCTATCCCCTATAAATTCCTCTATCTCTCTTCTTCTCTCCCTATACTTAGTATTCTAATAAATTGCACACTTGAAGCTTTCCTTCTCGTACTGGTATTAATAGAGGTTACCACTCGGTTACAATATCCACTCGCTTACCGATTACGTTAGCTTCTTCTTTAGCTCTCTTATAATGATAAATTAATTATAGCTGACACTAATTTAGAAGCTAGTTTCGTTAAATAAAATCCCTAGCTAATTTAGTAAGTTTAGGTTTATTAGATTTATAGATTTTTTTTACTACCTCCCTAATTTGATCCTCGCTATTTTTCATTTGATTCAATACCGTGGTGTAGTATAAAATTGTATAGGAAGTTGATTTTGAAGAGAAAAATTGTGATCCTGTGAAAAATTGTGAACTAGTGGGGCGCACCAATACACCCCCGGTGTGTTGGGCGCTTGGCACGGTTATGACCTAGAACCCAGCTTAGGTCCAGGTCCAGGTCCAATTGGGTTCTGGAGAAGCCTAATATCTTGTATGAAGTACGCGACCTGGATGACCATTCGTAGGCAATAGGAATGTATTATTAATAATGGTTCTGTTAGAAAATCTAAGATGGCTCATTCTGCCACCAGGCGTATTGAAATATTAAATACATTATCACATTACTATCCCGAAGATAATAATTATCATGAGAAACCACACCCATTGAACGATATCTAGGACCGAACACCGTAGAGAAATACCCGAATAGGCGTCGTGAGAAGACAAGCATAACGTGCATGAAAGGTAAACATGCGAACTGCTTACTGGGCCTTTGAAACCTTGGCCTTGTTTTCCCTTCGGCGCTTGAGCGCATCTGGGGTGTACTCCGTGTCAAGGACGTAATCCCACCACCGGAAGCTGCTAGCATAGTTGCCGATGAACTTCTCATGGTGGAGATCGTGGTGATCGGCACCAGCCCAGAATGGAAGGAAATGGTGAAGACTCCATGGGAATTCATACCCACTGTGAGCATCAATGGCCTGGAACAAGCGCAGGACGATCCAGATGTACATGGTGAGAATGTGTAGTTCGCCTGTCATAGCGCACCAAACGATAGGACACCCGACAGTTCCGAAGCCAAGAAGCATTACTTCAATCGGGGAGGCATATTCAGCAGCCAGGCCGAAAGGAGCCGAATACTGGTGATGGATTTTATGAATGGCTTTGTAGAGGGGACCCCAATGGAGAGCACGGTGGGAGAAGTAATGCCAGGTATCCTCCATCACGAAGAAGATTGCAATCTGATATGCCATAGTCCAAAGTGTAGGGAATGGGATCGAAGTTGAGAGTCCACAGTACTGCGCCAAGGGGTGGAAGAGCCTGGCATGCAAGTTAGATCCTCAAAAAACTTCAAGATGTGGAAGAAATTCCTTACCAGATTTGGGGCAGCTCAACGGTGAAATGACTCAAGAGGACGAACTTGGCGCAATCCCACTGTTCCCGGAGCGAGGGGATTTTGTTCTGCACGGTATTAGAGGGGACTCAATGGACTGAAAGGTGCTACTTACACCCTGAATCTTGTAGCGATTGAACAAGCCCAATGTGTCAATGAAAATCCAGGGCAGCGAGCGACCGAAGTAGACTATTTCGTGCATGGCGAATGACATGATTCCAGTGGCCAGGACATCATTCTGCATCCAAGCGTACCAGGCTGCCCATAACCTCTCTGCAACATTCAAATTGGCATTGTACTTGCCAATTTCCTCGAATTGGCCCCAGTATGTCCCCGAGGACAGGACTGTTGAATTCCTATGTGGAATATTAGCTACCATGACAGGTAAAGGACATGATCACCCGTACATTGTAAATGCTGTTTTGTTTTCCAAAGTAAAGAAGAAAGCAGAAATCAGGAAGTAAAAAGGAGGAAAGAAGAAAAGAAAAAAAAGGGAAGATAGCCGCTAAACCAAAGCCAAAGTGATCAGAGGTTATAAAGAAAAAGGGAGGAGATCGAGAATAAAGGATAGTCCAATCCCGACGTGGCGAGATCCGATTTTTTTTCCCCCTGAACGTTAGGGGGTAAGGCCACTGGTAAGCGGATATCCGAGATCACCCCACTGCATAAAATCAGGTCATGTGGAATTTGCTGCTTTTTGTTTGGTTGAACATCCCGACCATTTCTACTATATATATATCTATATGGATATATTAACTATTTTATTAAGTATATAGCTTACACCTGATATCTTACGATCATCTTATATCTTATTTAATTTATTTTTCCAATTGGCTTCTAATCACCTGTAGTCATCATATATGTGACCCTGTGACCGAGGATGTTCTCTACTCTGTAGGCTCAAGTACAGTTTACCTTTTTTTGCATAGTTTACACTGTTTGTATTGATTGTATAGTTTACCCTGTTTGTATCATTTGTATCATTTGTACATCAGTCATGTTTGCACTGTTTATGTCATATGACGACATTAACCTGAATCCTTCTGTTATTCCCCAGAAGATCCAAGGTACCTCTCTAGGTACGATGGTCAGCTTTTGAGGGTGTACCTCATACCATTGGAAGATTTGGGATGTCTGTTATACGAGAGTAAGTGCGACACAACTCCTGGGGAATAAAATTGCACTTTGTACTCAAATTGTTTTTCGCACAGAACTGTTTGTGGCATCAACACTCAGCTTGATCGCCTACAACAACAGACTGCAAGCTCACAGAGATTAGATACCACGGATCTATCCACTGAATCTCTTGAGTGCAGTGGTCAATTGCAAGATCTTATCAGCTCCATATCAGTGACTTCGAAAACCCAATCCCTTCTTTCTCCCAATCAGTTGGCAGACTTACTTTCGGGTACGTTCTCTCGCCTCCAGGTACAGACCGCTCTCGGTGATGGAAACAGTACACAACTTTCGGACTATGTTTGGATAGTGGCTGCAAAGGCTGCTATTCAGGCATCAGGACTGGTCATGAACACCCTCTTGGACCAAACACTTCAACTTCATGATGAGACCTATTACTGGGGTGAGATGCTAGGATCTGTCTGGCATAGCGGTCTATATACCGTCCAGAAATCTCCAGCGCAATTTTTTCACTGGACGAAGGATGCATGTCTCGCTCAGACCTATCCAGGAGCCCCATCCATCACTGCTAGATGGACCCGATTTTACCACATTGCCCGCCAAAGTGCGTGGAGCCTCGGGGGACACTCCATGCGCGCCAAACTGCTATCCCCGATCAGATCGTCTCGGGCAGAGATGCGGCAGAAACGAGACTTGCTTCTGGGAATGAAAGACCTCCATACCAGCAGCCTTGGCATTCTGATGGAAGGATGGCATCTCTTCGAATCGAATGACTCCACGAGTTTATGCCCCGGGGCCATAAATGCCCAATGGTGCGATGCAGTTCGTAGAGCAGTGGCACTGATCGAAGCCATTTTTGAACAGATAGCACTTGAGCCTAGCACTCACGAATTGGAGCAAGGAGTATTTGCCACTCTGGAGAAGGATATTCACACACAAGGGAAGAACTCAGTGCAAATACCTCTGGATTTGATTGAGCGACTTGTGCATGTTCTTCGAGAAAAGTTGCCAAAGCATACCACTTCAATGTCATTGTTCATTCGCCGCCACGGACGCCCTTCACGCATAGTCCGCTATTGGTTACCTGTCTCAGCTGCTCTACTTTCAGGAAGTGCATCGATGAGGTTTTTGACTAACCGTCGCGAGGAGATCATTCAGTCGATCGTTGATATCGGTTCCACCACTATCGATTTCTGGGGTAACTGGGTTGTGCATCCCATTCGAAAACTCATCGGGACAATCAGACATGACGAAAAAAGCGAAATTGCGATAATGAGCAAGGATAGCCTACTGGCTGATCGAGCAAGTCTAGAGAGAATGGTAGTGGACTTTGTCCGCGACCGCCCGGATCCTCACCAGGGTGTGGTGACGGACACCACCGCCATTGTGAATTCTGTCAAGGAGGGTGATTTGACTCCCGTTCTCAAGGCATATGAAAGGGACTTGCGGTCACCGTTCGTGGGGACCGTTAGGGGTGATCTCATCCGCGCCCTTCTGATACAGATCCAAAAGACGAAGGTCGACGTGGAAATTGCCATCAGTGGTATCGATGCCTTGCTGAAGAGCCAGGAGCTTGTGTTTGGGTATGTTTCCCTTTTTTCGGGCCTTTTCCCTCCTTACATTTTCTAACCATCAATGTCATTCAGATTTGTTGGGTTGACTCCTGGAATCTTGGTTTCCTTTGCGACCATGAGGTGGCTAGGTAGCCTTCTTGGCAGCCGACGAGGACTGCGAAAGGGCAAGCAACGACATGAACTTAAACGTGGATTGCGGTATGACGTTCTTGAACTGGTGTATAGCTTTCACGAGACTAATCGCAAACATGCAGGAATGTGGCCCGTATTTTGACTTCTTCCACGGTTTTGTCTAATGGGACTGTCGCTTATAAGGACTCTGGACAATTGATCTGTGAAGCGGAGGCTCTCCTTCAGAACGTGAAGATAAGTTCTGGTGGTATTCAATACGAAGAGTTCCGAGAAGACATACAAGATCTCTTGAATGTTCAGAATGGAGTGGACAAGCAACTTCGCGTGATCGAGAGGATGAGATGGGCGTATTTCCAATAGGCGTTGGTGACAGCATGGTTGTTTCATTTGATCTTTATATATTGACACCGAATATTAGACCATGGGTGTATTTATATATGTACACATGTAGTTAGGCAAATCATTCATCCCCGTATTCAGCTACCATCTTCTAGGGTTGAGAGCCACGTACGACAGGCATAACACCTGGAGATTTCACCCTAGTATACTAGTTATTATACATCTTACAGATGTTAAACATGAACATGTACATATGTTTCTAGGTCCATAGGCCAGTACTCCGTATATATGTGCCATTATACCCAAGTCCATTATGGTCGCTTACATAACCTCTGACCGTAGTTGCGTTACCCGTCATCACCTCCAAGTGGATCGTTTGACCTCCTTTCCCATAAAACACCCCAAAGTCTTTAGCTCATGCTTGGTTGTGGATCTCTGCTTAAGAATCTACATCTCCTTCTTCGTTTTGATCAGCCTGAAACAGTTCCATCATTTGACGAAAGCTCCTGATCACCCCTCGGACCGACTTGGGAAACCCATCACTAAACCACCTTATTGCTCCGATTCATCCTGCCGCAGCATCTACTTATTCTGCCATCTCCCCAGACCACTTCGTCAAAATCGATAACTTGCCACCCAAATTGACGCATTTCCGGGTCACCTCTCCCACCCATCCCCGGTGCTGCTAGCTTCGGCGCTTACCTTTTACCCAGATATCGCCATAATCCATAATGGCTGGTACACGGAATTATGATTTCCTGGTCAGTATCCATTCAAGCACTCGACAAATTTTCCTTCACGCCCCAGTGTTAACTTTGTTATAGATTAAACTGTTGTTGATTGGGGACTCAGGCGTGGGTAAATCATGTTGTCTACTGCGATTCAGCGAAGACTCCTTTACCCCATCATTCATCACTACAATCGGGATTGACTTCAAGATTCGTACGATCGAGTTGGACGGCAAGAGGGTGAAGTTGCAGATCTGGGACACTGCAGGCCAGGAGCGTTTCCGGACTATCACGACGGCATACTACCGAGGTGCTATGGGTATTTTGCTGGTCTACGACGTGACAGATGAACGATCATTCCAAAGTAAGACTTTCTATCTCCCCTTCTTCGAATATGTGCCTGACCATTTTGTTTAGACATTCGGACCTGGTTTTCAAACGTCGAGCAACATGCCAGTGAAGGCGTACACAAGATTCTCATTGGAAATAAGTGCGACTGGGAGGAGAAAAGGGCAGTTTCTACCGAACAAGGCCAGCTGCTCGCCGATGAACTCGGCATTCCCTTCCTCGAAGTTTCGGCCAAGAACAACATCAACATTGAGAAGGCATTCTACAGCCTTGCTTCGGATATTAAGAAAGGAATGGACACATCGAAGACTGAACAATCTGGTTCTCAGGGTGTTAATATAGACCAGCAAGGCTCTCTGAATGGCAACTCCGGGGGCAAGTGTTGTTAGTTGTATCACCCTTTTGTCTTATTTTGTTTGTCCACAATCCCCCCCCGTGTTTTCAGCTATATTTTTCTTATTTTCTCGTCTCGTTTTTGGTTTTGTTGCATTATCATGTGCCAAGATCTGAATGTCCAAGTTTGATGCCTGAAAAGAATGGCATAAACTTCTGAGTATCATACAAATTTGTCCATATGCTTTGATACCGATAGTTTTTGTATAGTTTTTGGTCTTTTTTTGGTTTCTTCTATCTTTATAGGCTTTGTAGAGTTGGCAACAAGATCAAAATATCTATCTGTAAACTGATATGTGATCCTTGATTATTGAAACTTGGCCGCAACACTGGACAGTCTTCTTTCAAATCCTCTCTCCCCTCTGTTCTCTCTTCTCTTCCCTCTTTACTCTCCTCTCTATTCTCCCTACCCTGTTCTCTGGATAATCTCTTTTCAGAAGCGCTATCTTTGAAGATCTGTTTATCTTTTATCTTTTTTTTTTTTTTTTTTTGGAGTTGCCCCTCCCCCACAAAAAAAAAAAAAAAGAAAAAAAAGAAACGACAAAAAAAGTTCTAATCGGAGAGAGCTAAAAGACACTGATAACACCTTTCTTGACACTTCCTTGCTATCATGTCTGAAACTCGCCTTTTCACTGCTCGTCCATTGTCAAAGCAGCAGGCACGGAAGGATCTCAAAGATGCATTTCGTGTATATCTATCTTCCACTTCGCTAGCCGGTCTAAGGATTCAAACAGAGAGCATCTGCACGCTCCGGCAAGGCGATGGCCCACCGCAGACTGTCATAGCATGGTACGCGTCAGAGAATATCCAGAGTACAGTCGTGCAAATATCAAGGACACTTCAGGATTGCTATGACATCAAGATCGGAGAGAAGGTTTCTATCACTAGGGCCGAAGGCTCGCTAGAAAATATCGACTTGGTGACATTGGTGGATTCTTCAGACCCTGAGAAAATTGCGAAACATGGCTCAATCTCAGAAAACGACAGATCCCACTGGGAATGGGCCCTAGAGGAAAAGCTTCTCCGATGCGGCTGTTTGACGACTGGCTTGGGGTTTGAGCTAGAACTCAAGGGCCAACTCAGGAGTTTTCGAGTGGTTAACATACATTCACAGAACCCTCACTCTAGTCATACCCTTTTTCAATTCACAGAGGCTTCCAAGGTTTCCCTTGGCCCAGTCACAGAGAGAATAGAGGCAAAATCATCAGGTATAGCAGTGCAATCTGCTGGCCTTGGAGGCCTCTCCCGCCAGATCGACGACATCAATGAAATCTTGTCTGATTTTAATATTGACCCGCGGAGGCCAGCGATGCCATCATTCTACGAGAAAACTCGAGGGATTCTACTCTATGGACCAAAGGGAACTGGCAAAACAAGTCTTCTCGCACAGATCGAGAAAGCTGGCTGGAACCAAACATTCAAAATCGACATGTCAACGTTGGGTAGAAGTATCAACGAGGGCGAGCTCAAGCTGCGCAATATATTTCAAGAGGCGGCTCGCTCTAACCCCAGTGTGATTATCATCGACCAGTTGGAATTCATTGCCCCCAAGCGCGCTTCAATTGAATCCCAGTCCCTTGCGTCGGTCCTTTGCGAGAATCTAGATGCTATTCGAAATACATCGATCCTCGTGGTGGCCGCAACGAGGAACCCCAATCAAGTTGATGACGCCCTCAGAACGCCTCATCGACTTGGAACGGAAATTGAGATCCAAGTCCCTACCGCCCAGGACCGAGCTGAGATACTCCATGCCATTCGCGGGCCAGTATCTGCCGGGTTGACCGACGAGATTGTAGAACTACTAGCCGAAAAGACGCATGGTTACGTTGGAGCTGACATTTTCGCCCTCCTCCAATTGGTCTGCCGCAAAGCCCGACGACGAGAACTGTCAGGACAGAATTCTATAGGCATATCGGTCAACCCGATAGACCCATATAGCTGGCACCACGGAGGCTCCATCGATGATGAATCGGCCATCTCATTAGAGATACAAGAAGAAGATATTCTGCTCTCCCTGCAGGAAATCCGTCCCACAGCTATGCGGGAAGTGTTCTTGGAAACCCCAAAGGTGAGATGGTCAGACATCGGTGGCCAGCATGATATCAAAAAACGCCTCCAACAAGCTGTTGAGCGACCCTTGAAGGTAAGATTTGCATCTATACACCAGAAAACCTTTTTTCTTTTTTCTTTTTGAAGACTAATCTCTTTTTTTGAACAAAACCATAGTACCCCCAACGGATGAAGAGACTCAATGTGAAAAGTAAAAAGGGTGTCTTACTTTATGGGCCACCAGGTTGTTCCAAAACATTGATGGTCAAAGCTCTAGCCACAGAGGCAGGGTTGAATTTCCTGGCAGTCAAGGGCGCAGAGATTCTTAGCATGTACGTTGGAGAGTCTGAGCGATCATTGAGAGAGATCTTCAGAAAAGCCCGGGCAGCACGACCAAGTATTGTATTCTTCGACGAGATTGATGCCATTGCTGCTCGACGCAGCAGTAGTTCGGGAGGAGTCAATCTTCTTACGACACTGCTAAACGAAATGGACGGTATCGAGGAGCTCCGAAACGTGTTGGTCATTGCTGCAACCAACAAGCCGGATGTCTTAGATCCTGCATTGATGCGACCTGGGCGATTGGACAATATTCTCTATATCGGCCCTCCGGACTTTGAGGCGCGTCGGGAAATCTTGCGCATCTGGGCCAATATGTCTGTGGTGAACCCAGAAGTCGACTTGGATAAGCTGGCATCTCTGACCGAGGGCCATTCTGGTGCCGAGATTGTGAGCATCTGCGAAACTGCTGGAGATGCAGCACTTGACGACGAGGAGAAAACACAACAAGAGCAAGATGTGCAATGGAAACACTTTGAATATGCACTTGCACAAGTGCGGCGGCAAATCACCGATACTGTCATCCAAGAGTATGAGCGATGGAGAGAGGGCCAGAGGTAAGATCAATACATATTCGCAGATGTAGGCTTTGCTGTATAATAAAATTAAAAGTTCTTGAAGTTGAAGTCGAAGTCAGTTGAAGTGCGTATAAAGTGTCCCTAGGTGATTACCGAATTAAGTTAGTACCGAAATGAACATCCCTTCCCTCAACCACTCTCCCTCTCTCTCTCTCTCTCTCTTGCTTTTCCAACTTCCTCCTTTCTATCTTTTTTTGAATTCAAATTAATCATTTCAATTCTTTTTCACCTACATTTGCTTACTTTACATATTCAATCTGTGTCACTTGAAAAGCCCTTGGATTCCTTCCGCGCGCCGTGCGCTAAATCTTCAACATGTCCTTGAGATCACCTCGCGGACAATCACCTCTACGTTCAGCAGAGCGGGACTCGGACCGAGCACGGTCGCGTTCCTTACGTCGCTCGAAACCTCGAAGTGAAAGCCCATCACGTAGCCTCACCCGAAGTCCATCGCAAGGACGACGCGATCGCTATCGTTCAAAAACCCGATCCAGATCCCCATCGCGTGGCAGAACTCGTTCTCGCAGTCGTAGCCGAGGTGGTCGACGTTACAATAGCCGGAGTGAAAGCCGCTCACTTACTCCCAACCCCAGCCCTCCAAGAAGTTCCAAGGTAAGTGCTGGTCTATCACACTGACATGACTGTCCCACCTAGTCAGGGCCGCCTCCATCAACTTCAGAAAGCTGACTTTCTCTCCTTCTTCACAGATCGTGGTAGAAAAATTGACAAAAAATGTCACAGAAAATCACATCCGAGAGATATTTGGGGGCTTTGGAGAGATAGACTATCTCGATCTTCCAATTAACAAAGCTTGTAAGACTCGTTTTTTGACTCACGATTCGAGATGTTTCTGTCTTCTAACCCTTCTATAGTCATGACAAATAGGGGGACTGCGTACATACTCTACTACGACCCCGCTGACGCCGAAGCAGCCATTGCCCACATGCATGAGGCTCAGCTTGACGGGGCCATCCTGAATGTCTCAATCGTCCTCCCTCGCCGCAAATTCTCACGCTCGCCACCCCCTGCGTCAATCCGAGGGAATGGCGGTCGCCCAAGATACGGCCGAGGACCATATGCAGGACCGCCATCCCCGCCCAGACGGCATGGAGGCGGTCGGCCCACAGAACGCCACGACATATATAGGCCCCAGACTGCATCAAGATCTCGATCTCCTGTTCGCTCCCGGTCATACTCTTCTCGCTCCCGGTCACCACCGCCGCGCCGAGGTAGCCCTCGCACAGACTCGCGGCATCACCGACGCCGGAGCCCAAGCTACAGCAGCTACGGTTACAGCAGTCGAAGTCGCAGTCCAAACCGGAACCGAGGCCATGATCGAAACTAAACATTGAACGCTTTTTTCGGTCTTTTGTCTTGTGTACTGGCTCAGCACTAATGGGGATTGCGCGTGATCTTCGGTGCGGGCAACTGAACTTCTCTCGCAAGATATCCAGAATAGCTAGTTCCATGCAACAGTCAACAAATTCCACTACTGCTTCTCATGTAAGTGCTGCCGCATTTTGCCCTGCACCAGGTAGGAGATGTATACTCGGTGGTCAAGAGGATAGATCGAGTCAGGTACTATGCGAAACAGCGGTAGGACCAAATATAACGAAAGACAGAAGAATTTCACTTTTGTATGGGAGACTTGGATAAAAAATATCACCAGAAGCAAATAAATCATCAGAAGAACGAACACCATCCGACGTACATTGACGCCAGTTTCTTCTTATCCGTTGCTTGTATGATCAGTTCATCGACCTGACCATCCACCGAAAGTGCAATGGGTTGTTTAGACATGAAACCACGGAGTTTGTTTCGAACATCCTCCAAAACACCAGCCGGTGTGTCTGGGACGTTCACATGGGTGCGACGCTAGGGTAACGAGACTTATTAGGAGCTGATTTATCAAGAATTGTAGTTGGAATGTACTCACTCTCTTCCCAATGAAATCGGTTGTTGGATCATGCAAAAATGTCTCGAGTACAGTCATCAAGGCGTCCTCGTTTTGTCGTAGCAGACTGAGCGTGATTTCACAAGTCCTTCTGAAGGGACCTATACCTTGCAAATCAGCATAATATCAAACCCTGAGAGAATCTTTCAAAACTGACCATTGTACCCGTAAGCGCCGAAGGCATCGATCATGTTATGTGTCAATCGGAATGGTACCACCTCAGGCTTTTCAAATGTTTGACCTTTGTCAAAGAGACAGTTGAAATCAACATGTAGGAGGCCACCTGTTCCTTCTTCGAATGAAAGGTTCTCGCCATGCCGATCACCTAGACTATGCATAGCAGAAAGAAAACCGGTCAGAGGCGAAAGCAGGTAGAAAACCCTCAAAGAGAGTACATACCCCAGAACATATCCCACCATTGACATCACAGCAGAAGACCGTGTATACCTTAGTCTTGCTGTAAACCATGCCTCTGTTTCAGGGAACATCTCGATGAACCATTCATGAAGAACCGGCGGGAGCCTGCAACTGTCAGTATGGTGGACTCACGATGATATCGACACAGAAGATTTACTTGGCCAGAATGTTGGTGGTGAATAAGGGTAGCTTTGCGAATGATCGATCAGCGCAGATCTCGTTCAAAGTATGCCTGATCTCGTTGTACTATTGCACAAGTTAGACAACACAGCCTTGGTACCGTATTAGATGTGGTATACTTACATTTGGTGAAACACCTCTTTCGCGCAGTAACTTGATGACGATCTCTCTCAGTGTGCGGAGGTTATCAACCCATTCAATAAGACCACATTCCTCGTTTAGAGGCGTGACAGCATAGGTTTTGATGTCTATTTCGGGTCAGTCTTTGAAATTCCAAAGTTCATGAAACCACTTACACATGCGCCGCTTGCTTGATTCGACGTCTCTCTTCAGGAATCGGTTGATCATGTTGTTGAATTCCATGAGACGTTGATCCTTGCGCAAATCATCTTTGGGTTTGCAAAGTGCGTTATAGATCTTTCCATCAGATCCTCGCAGACTGATTTTGCGTGGCTTTTGAAGCGAGTTTAAGATCTGGGCTTCGTCCAAAACAGCTAATCTCGGTTAGTTTGTCTTGGCGAGAAGCGGAAGTTGATGACTGTACCCTCAATAGTTGTTGGGTCCCGAGGGAAGGCCCTGAAGCCTTTGATGTATTCGATATTCTGACTCGCAGGGAGACTTGGGATCAACATTGCCTGGAAAGGTACCACTAATCGGCATGGCGCGACTTTATGATTAAAGCCTAAATTGCGACCGAGTTGAACTCGAGAAGACTTTTCCTCCACCGGAGCAAGGCAGAGTTGAAGTAATTCCTCCGAGAACTTTGTACCTTGAGTAATCATGCGACGGATTTCCGACGCCGTTGAGGATTCCCCTTTGATTTGCTGCCGTAGTCCTAAGCAAGTTAGTCTCTTGTACTCTGTTCTGGATGGATGATACTTACTATGATCTTCTGTAGGCAGTTATATCCCCTTTTGGCTCGCTCCTTGTTGGAGGACTTGACAACGGCAAGGACTGTCCAAAGACCTTGCTGTGGGAAGTTGTGAACTGCTTTAGCTACAATCCGCGTTAACAGATCATAGACTGTGATGTTAGGGTGACAAATCCTGGCAACCACTTGGGGTAGGATTGTGAACAACTACAAAATGTTAGTGAATTATCCAGGAAAATCACATCTTGTAAACTTACCAGAGCCGCTTGTAAGCGCTTGTCGATGAATTTCCTCAGTTGTACATGCATCTCGTCGAGGCTCTTCTTGCGTTGCGCCTGCGTATGCTTTTGAAACTCCCTAAGGTGCGGTGAGCCGCTCATTAACAGTTGTTTACCAATGGCCACACCGGTAAACTTTTTCTTACTCGTTATCGCCTCTTTTTGGATCAATGGGCTGTTCAACAATCGAGGCATGTTCAAGCCAGAGGGTCAGAAGCTTGGGTAAGGTCTGGAAGACATATTTGGTCCCATATGTCAGCGAGCGAAGATAGTTATCAATGACAAGCTTTGTGGCCTCGCCACTGAGGCTGCGTGTGATCTTGGTTAGTCTCAAGGTAGAAAATGGGGAAGAGGGTTTGATAACTGACTATATTTGAGCTTCCTTTCCCATGGGCTTGGCCTTTTCAGACTCCAAAATTTTGTTGTAATGCTTCCCCAGGTAATAGTGTGCCCTTTCCCACCTATTTTTCCTTTTAGAACCGACCGCATCGAGCTAGTGATAGTCCAACTTACTTTGGATACAACTTAATGGCCTCTCGGTATCTCTGAACAATCGCCTGAGAGTGTGTCTGACCAGCTCTGTCTGTCCATTTGGCTAGCATAAGATGAGCCTAATTAGGTCAGTGTTATGCTCCATGTGAATTGTATTGGATAACACACAAGAGCGGTAGACTCATTCTGATGCTGCCCACGACCTGAAAGAAATGACATGGCTTCAATTTCGCCCGAAGAAGATGTACTCGGGGTAGCTTCATTGGCAGAAATCGCACCCTCTAGAGTCTGAATGGCTTTTCGATGGTGTCCGTCTTTCCAGAGTAGTCGCGCGTGTTCGATAGAAGCAGATCTGTCTTTCAACCGCGCTGCATTGAGCATCGAGTGATACGCTTGACTGCTGAAATTGCCTTTTCTTGAGAGACGGGCACTGGTGAGCCATGCAGCGGATATATCAGAATCCCCAAATTCGCCCCTGTATCGTAGTTCTAGCTGCCTGTTTCGTGCTTTTTGGATCATGAACTCACGTTAGCTCCATTGTGGCTCGTCTCAACCCCAATAAGTATTGTTTATCGGAAAGGTAGCCTCCCAAAACATCCAAGCGTCGGTCTAGGGCACCAAGCAGGCCAGGGCGCGATTGGCTTGATTGTATTTTAGCAATGGATTCGACCTCCGACAAAGCATGTAACCGGAGCATGTCATTATGGCATGCTTGTAGTGATGCTACCGAGTTTGTGGTTAGTGATCGGGCAACGTTGAGCCTGAGCTCGTTGATTTTATCAGTAAACGCC